GACGTGGCAGCCACTACGGCAAAACATCCCAACTCACGTAGTCAGATTTCACGCTACGGCTGGATGCAACTGACGTACATGCGCACTGCCTCATTTTGGGGGAAATTTACCTCTGGAAGCCATATCAGCGCCAGCTGTAGCGATTTGCTTTAAGTCCCTATTATCATAATCAATGCCTAGTACCACAGAGGTCATAGATTTGAGTCCAGTTCAAACCTAAAAATATTTCAGACTTTTTTTTACAGCTACTTGTGACCTGTGATGCGAAAATGTTCCTTTTGGTATCCGTTCAAATGGTTGAACGCACGCCAAGTGAACAGCTAAGAAACAGGTCCACAAACTGTTCAAAACGGATACACTGAATGGCTGAACAACTGAAGACAATAAATTTTTGAATGGATGAGGTTGAATGGCTGAAAAAATTTTTGAATGGATGAGGTTGACAGCTGAATGACTGAAGAAAATTTTTGAACGACAGAAGTCAAACGGCTGAACCACTGACAAAAATTTTTGAATGACTGAAGTCGAATGGCTGAATGGCTGTACTGTAGTTAATTTTGAAAGGCTGGCTGTGAAGGGCTGAACAGCTGAGTAACAGCTATCAAAAACTTCCAAATGAAATTATATATATAACAAAGAATAACAGCAAGGTCAAGTTAATGGTTCTTATCTGAGAACTGATTGAATTGTAAACCTCGAATAAAACTAATCCTGTGTTGAAAGTCTAAGCTTTTTAAGGGTAAAGCAAATTTGTTTTCGAGGGGGAAATCAAAATCCGTAGTCGTCTGCATTCACTTGCTATATAAAGTTATACAAACATTTTGAAAATGCGTAACACAGTTACTCCCGGAATGACTTCATGAACATCTTGCTCGTCAAAACACTGCTGTATGGAGTAGGTGACACTTTTTCCCCTATATGTATCTTTTAAACTAGAAGCACTAGTTATAGCGACAAAAAATTTCCAAGAAGTGACAGTAATTCTCGTTTGCTTGAGTGCCAGCAAAATATATATTTTTTCACTCTAGTAAACCTGAGTAAACAAAGAAGCACACACTAATTTGTCAGCCTCATTGATTTTGCTACAATGCACATTTACAAAGTTAAGTGAACCCAGGATTGCATACTACACTGTTCTGGTTTTTCATGTAATAAAACATGTTTTGTCATATTTGTACATTTTGTTACTGAACGCTCAAGCTGCTAACACTGCAGTTCAAATGGTAAAAAATAGTCCTAACAACCAATCATTTTCAAGAATTCTTCATTGGCATGATCATTTGTTTAACAGACTTTCACTCTTCTCACATACACTGACCTGACTAACCAATTACATACATGTACACTACCACATAAATCTTTAATATGGCTTTACTCACTGGTTCCCAGTAATTAAATGTTTCATCACAGTCAGATATATTACTGAGGAAGGCAGAGCAGAATCTAGCTGACAACAGCAGTTTAAATATTGTGTAAGGTCTTGGACACCAAACAGATATGTCTGATGGCGAAAGCTTCTTCGTCCTAAAAAATTCACAAGACAATCAATCTAAGGATTGAACACTAAACATAAAATCACGCTGATGCTTGACTGGTTATTTTTGTTGTCGCTGTTGTTTTTGTGCGTGTTAGCTGAGGCACAAACATATAAGAGGTCTATGCAAAAGACAAGGTGGGATATAAGGTTCCACACATCTGGGACCCTCGGACCCTCTTTAATACTGGCCTTTCAGAAAGAGGTAAGGATTAAGTTGTAATTGATCAATTGCTTTTGATAAACTAATAACGACCGGTGAAATTCTGCCTCGGTCAGAAATATTCCAACCCGAAAACAAACGCATCGGTCAACCTTCTATAAACAAATGCTTCGAGAAACGTGTTTAGGAAGAAAAGTTGATAAAGCAAAATCTCAAATATTCACAATCTAGAAATACTTACAAATCAACATCTACAGGGCTTTTAAAGTCGGAAGTTACTTCAGACGCTGTGGTAGTAGTTGCTCCCGCCTTCTGTCTACGAGCCGCCATGTTGTTTATACGACCACGAACGAGCACGTGCTACTCAGCGGACTACTTTACGAATTTCTTTCGGTCACTGTGATTGGGTAGTTATGCGGTAAGCTGATCAAATATAGAATGAACCAATCAATGAAGTGGTTCCATCTAGACCCAAACGCGAAGTCAAAGATGGAGGACAAGGGAGCATTGGAGGAGAGATTGCGTGAAGTTTGCTGCATCGGCGACGAAAGAAATGCGAAACTGCTCATCGAACGAGGGATCAGCATTAATGCAGCAAATGCAATGAACGGCTGGACTCCTTTGCACTGGGCAGCAAAACGAGGGCACGTAAGCATCGTGAAATACCTCGTGCAAGAAGGGGCTGATACAACGTTGTTGACTAAGAAAGGGGAAACTGCAGCCCAGTTATCCAGTAACTCTAGTGTTAAACAGATACTTGGAGAACAAGGCAACATCGGTCTAAGTACAGGCAATGACACTTTACCTATTGTTCCGAATTATCTCCGAAATCCGGAGTTTTTTTATGCTGCGAAAGACGAGTCCGGAAGACTTTCACACAGAGAGCAAGGTATTTCAACCACAAACAACCAAGAGTTATCTTTGGTAAATGGACAGCAGCAAGGCGTCAACACTTCATCAAATTCATATTCTTCATGTGCTGCACAGCCAGGAGAGGAAATCGTGTTAAAGTTGCGAATTGCCGATACAGATGAAAAGGACTTTATAGAAGTTGATCTTCACAGAAGAAATCTCACATTTCAAACTTTAGAGAAAGTGTGTTGCGAAGAACTGAGTATCGAGGCTAAGAATATAAAGAAGATAAGAAAATTGCCAAACACCATTGTTAGAAATGACAAAGACATGACAAGACTGCTACCATTCCAAGAATTGGAAGTAGTGTTGACAGGCAATAAAAGTTAATGCAATGCATTCTATGATTTAAGGTAGTAGAAATATTGAAGAGGGAGAGAGGATGACAGGGCCATAGCCAGAAACAAACTGTGACTGAGGCAACGTCAATGAAAAAATTATAACTGAGGCAATGTCCTTGGTTAAATTCTCTTCTTAGGCACAATGACTATAAACAACAGAAAAGAACAAAAATGGTTGATGCAAGTGCCTTGGTTTGCCTGTTACTAGCTACGGCCCAGGATGACGTTAGATTTTATAGAGAATGAGTATAATTATGTTCACTCTATTCACTATCCAGTCAGGGGTGTTAACTGGTAAGTCAGAGAATATACGGGATGGTAAAACTGATATAATAGAGTGGTTTTACTTAACTGGTGAAATAGATAGTGGAATTGTACATGTCACAACTTCATATTAGTTCCTACTATCCCCCTATAGGACCTATAGTTAGTAATTCTTTTGTTTTCTAGTCTTTATTTTTGTATGCCATGCACTAATACTAATTAGCAGACAATATTACACACTAACAATTAGTTTCTGTTTCATGGGTTCTGTAAAATCACTCTATACCCTGCTAATGAAAATTATTGACACTCTGAGGAGGTGAAACAAAAAAATGACACCATGACACCTGTAAATTTGGGCAAAAAGATGCAGGACATATTTTTGTAAGGATCATTTGCCATCTCTCCATTTGATAACCTGTTACAGAATTAGAGGTAATGGCAACAAAATCACACAAGTAAAATCTTGATTTTTGTTTCACAATAATTGCATGTTTCAAAATAAAAATTCACTTTTTGCCTTCACCATCCTTTGGTGTGGGATGCTAAAAGGTTTCCTTGAATGAGACCTGAAAAGATCATTGCTTAGCATTTGCCAAGGTCAAATGTACATGTAAACAAAGGGTTATGATTGCTTGGCCCATGACAAATGATAAAAGATTTAAAAGATTGTCAAAATTTAAAATTTAAAGATTATTAAAAGATCAAATAATAAAAATCTGAAATTTTGCATTTAAATATCTAATGTCTCCTAGTTTGAGGCCTAGATTCAGTTTTGGTCTGTAATACTTGACTCTTTCAAGGCTATTTTTTTATCGCAAGTTTGCCACCCATATCAAAGATCAAAAGAATTAGTTTTCCAGCACAAAGCAAGGGCCAACTCGTGAAAGTGGTAGAAAACTGTTGCTGCTGGCTATTTCAGCCTCACATCACTTCTGTAAACACCAATATTATACCAAAAATAAAAAGCAAGACACCCAGTTAATGACACCACTCCAAACCACTTTAAATTGACCAGGAAAAATGTTGCATTCTTTTGGTTTAAAATGGCATCCTCAGGCCTAATGAGATTACAGAACTTCATCACATGCAATTTTGTAGCTCACTTGCTGCAAAGGCCTTATGCAACTTTCTGGGCTCAAAAAAAGTACCATGTGGTCATCCAGGACAAGTAGATTTTCCTGCTGGGCATTTAACTTTTCCAAGCAAATCATTTTTCACTTGCCTAATGGCTGGGCAAGGGCCCAGGAAAGACAGTAAACTAAGACTTACCCAGGGAGAACAAAATTTGAGAGCTGCTTGTCTTAAGGGCGAGCTGAAACTCAATTTTTTTTCAGCCGTTAACTTTCGATATGTTGAAATGCCCATGGCTACAATTGTTGCATTGTTTTAAACACTCCATTGTTTGAGTCTCACACATACCTTCATAACTTGGATCTTGTTTAGGTGGAATATGTAGGAATCATTTTTAAAATTTATTAAGCCCTTACGTTTACCTTTTACCTGCAAAGGTGTCATTTAGTGTAAGAACAGGACAAAGTATCAGATGCACCAAGCCCTCAGTTCGTCGTTCAAGATGTACAAAAGCAGATAGTTTGCCTTAATAACTTGTTCTGTCCAAGTTGATATTGATACTCATACCATAACCATCTGGATGCATACAGCAGTAATTTTTTGGATGCCCATCTTTATATCTGCAGACAGATATCAATGATCCATCCCAGAGAAGTTCACCTCTTACTTTTCTGTTGAAGACGTACTACTAAAGCAGATTGTTCAACTGAACATACAGTCTCTCTTGTGCCAGTCTTGAATGCATTACCAGATACTCAAAAACTTGTCAAGTTCTATTCATCTCTAGCCTAAAAAATGGCCACTTGTACCAAGTGTTTTCTTCATAACACTGAAGAACATGCACTAAGTAATCAGAATGAGATGAAAGTCACGAACATCTCCATAGTTCTTTTTCAGAAATGACACTGTTAAGGGGGGAGGGAGGGGGGACAAGGTGGGTCATCAAATAGCAAACTGCCAGTCATTAATACTACAAATAAGGCTACTTTAGATATTTATAAAAATTCAGCTTGATAATGGGGCCTGGAGAACACAAGCAAAGAAAATCAAATGGCCATTTTCATCTCTATATGCCAGCCCTACCAGTAGATCCATTAGTCTCTCGCATATAGACGGAGCCCATTCAGATCACCAAATCTCCCAGACATAGAGTAAAGTGCCTACGTACATTTTTGCACTTGTTTTGGCTGATTTTTGGCATTTTCAATATACTTCACACATTTTTGTGATTAAATCAGTAAATGCCTTTAACACCCTTTTTTAGGGAAGAGCAGGTAAAACTGGCAATCTCCCAGATTTTAAACTGTGCACTAAGTTGTTCACAGTTAAATGTATTTCGGAGTGTTTATAATCAGTGTTTTTGGTTTGTTTTTTTCTTTTTTCTTATAGGCCTCACTATCACGCCGGAATTTTAATATATAATTTTAAAGAAGCCTGCATGGAATAAATTATTTGTAGTATACTGGTGACTTGCTATTTCACCACCTGTTGAACAATTGCAATCATTATGGCAGCTGGTGATACAGCGAACAACGTCCACGAGACATGCAAAAATAAAACACAAATTAAAGTCAAATACATAATCATTGCTATATAAAACACAAAAATATGAGACATTTTCTTCCTTCCTTGTTTCATTTTGATAAGAAATAAATACAGTTTTCTTAAGAGATAAGTTTAAATACTGGGTCAATACTGTATCTGTAGAATTCAAAGTGAGGGATTGCTCCTTGTAGTAATTTTGTTTCAGTTCTAGTCTTTGCAGACGTCCTTATAAGACACGAGAAAATCGTAATATTCGGCTGGCAAGAGATCTTTGCCGGCCAAACAGTGATCTAGGTATTCTCGCCGTGGGACTAATCCCTCCTGGTAAAACTCATCAGTCACAACATAAGTTGTGGCTTCAATTTTTTCCCCATCTGAAGTCTCCACGATCACACACTGCCGGCGGTAACGACCTTCTGAGACCATTTCGAAGACATCCAGTCTATCAAGTCCGCCAGATTCAAGAGTGTACAATGCCCCATGTACAACCGAGTTTTTCTCTGGCTTGATGTTACAGGAACCACGTCCATCCGGTCTTCTAAACGTAAAACTCATCTTGTAGTCCGATAACTTGGCCCCAACTCGTTTAGTGAAGAAGGCTTTTCGTTCCCTCATCCTGTCTGGGTTCATGTTGGAACCGAAAGCGAAGTACATCTCTTTCGCTGTCATGGTTTCGTTGAAGTTTCTCCAGAAGAACGTAAGACCAACGCTAGCTCTCTTTGGGAACAAATATCCTTTCAAAACACGAGTAGGAAGACTCTTAATGTGGCTCCTCAAGAAACCAACCCGCATTTCCGCTTTCAAGTTGATAACCCGTGACTATCAAGTAGAACCCGTGACGGTTAAAAATGAAACACGTGATGGTTGTTTTACGTGGTGGCTTCGTGACGGACCCGTGACATATACGTGACGGATGTATGCTTTCGGTAAATGTTCGGTGACGACTCCCGGGTGACGACTAAACATCCTTATGGATCTAAGACGATTTATGGTCAGATGAACTATTATTATTATTATTATTATTATTATTATTATTATTATTATTATTTTTACTATTCTTATTTAAATTTTTTCGACAAATGATAACAGACAAATTTATAAGGGTTGTAAAGAATGNATCAAAAAAGTAGTTTTTATTTACACTTAATGCTAGAT